CCGCCCTGGCTCCCCGGCCCCCGCGGCAGCGGCCGGCTCTTCGCGCCTCGCTCCTTCCGCACTCTGCCGGCTCTGCGGAAGGCAGGTGTGAGCAAAGTTGGGGCACAGGGCGGAGGGTTCAGACCTCTGCGAGGTTTCTGGCCCACTCCCACCCCCGGGTTCCACTACCCGTCCTCCCAGATTGCAGAAGGGAAACTCCTCTGGGACGGTTAAGGACTGCGAGCATTAATTAGCTTTGCGGGGAACAGCAATAAAGGTAATATAATAATAGTAATCCAACTTGAATGCGCACCTGGTGCTTAGCTTGGCTTATTCCACGAAAGCTCCTCCCCTCCTCCCCAGCACTTGAGGAAGAGGCCACACCCAAGCCGGCCCCTTGGAGTCTTCCAGGCTCAGCAGCTTGGGGGCGGGGGTGCAAACAGGTTCTCAAACTTTAGAGGAGGTGGGGCGTCCTAGCCTTGCCAAACAGCCCTGCGTGTTTTTTTTTTTTGGGGGGGGGCTGTTAGGGGAAGTGGTTCTCAAATTTTAGGAGCAGGGAGTTGTCTTCTGTCTTTCGACTCAGGCCCAGCCTGGTGGCTCAGTTAGAAATCCCCAGAAGAGCTGCAATGTTGGTGGGCCCTGAGCCCACCTGGAGAGGGGAGAGGCGCAGTGTAAACTGGCCCAAAGGAGTTGGTTCTGCAGCTGGGCTGGATGAGCCAGTCCTGTCTCCTGCCTGACCACAAGCCTTGGCTTAACATGGGGTAATGGCACATGAGACATCCATCAGAAGGGGCTGGCATGGGCCTGCACAAGGGGGTCCTGGGAAATCATGTCCACTTTTCAAGGGAGGAACTGACAGAGGTCAGGCAAGGCAGGCAGAAATTCAGAATCAACACTTTCTGGTTCTGAAGGCCAGGCTGTGGCCCTCTACAGTGGTGGGTGACATGGTCACACATGGCTGCCATGTGCTCAGTCTGTCCTGGGTGCTGGGCTCAGAGATGGTGCTGGGGTGGAGTCACAGGCAGGGATGTCCACTACAGAAGCTCCACAGGCCCGGGGAGGGGCTGCCTGAGGACCATCTGCCCCCAGCAAGGGCCACTGTGCTGCTCAGGGGCAGGGCCAGGGGGGCGGGGGGGGGGGGGGGCTGAAAAACCTGCTGGAGTGGCAGAAATCTGCCTTCTCCAGGTTGAAAAGCCCTTTGGCATTTGCAAAGCTGGGCAGCACCAGAAGTCTGCATTGTTAAAGCACTCTTGGGGGTGCTGAGGTCCGGCCTCCTGAGGCCTGCTGAGAATGTGGGCTGGCTGTGGGGCCCAGCTGGGCCGCCCACAGGAGGCTGCCTTTAGAGTCAGGACTCTCAAAATCCAGACTGACTTCGAAGCCAGGAAGGGGGGCGGGGCTGGGAATTAGCCCTAGCTGCTGGGAACCATTTCATCCCAACTTAAAATAAGGGTTCGTAGAGTTTTAGCAAAGTACCTGATTCAAGGGTGAAATGAGGAGGCTTTTTGCTGCGGGGGTTTCAACATCTCCTACCGCCTCTTCTCCCTGTGTGCACAGCCGCTCCCAGAGCTGCAGCCAGCAAGTGTGAAAATTGAGCAAAACTCTAGGGTAGTGAGGGGGCACATGATTCTCTCTGCCTCCCAGACAACCCCAGAGAGGACCCCGATGTGTGGAGTGAAGTTACCTGCGTCCCAGGCCCCATGGGCCCTGGCAGGGAACCCTGTCCCCTCTTCCTGTTGCTGGGAGGCAGCAGCAAAGGCTCCCCACAGAGACTTTCAAGGGACTCCCTCTTCTCTGCTCTGCTGCCAAACCGGCCACCTTCGCCAGCTTGGGGCTGGGTGTGATGGTCAGAGAGTCTATTCCTGATGGCAGGGCACGGAGGATCATCAGGCACTCCTGGTGGCAGCAGAAGGCACCGCCTGTGGGTCCCCCCTCCACTCAGTTACTCACTGCACATGTAGGCAGCCCCTCGAGGCTCAGGGCCCAGCTGGGCCCCAGGGCCCCCAGAGCGGACACCACCTGGGCTCACAGACACACCGGGGTGCCCTAGCAGGGGGTAAACAAGAGCTCACTCGGCCCTCAGAGGTCTGGGGGGGGGGGACCCCTGGAGAGACTGTCAGGTCTGGGGAGTCCCCACTGTGGCCCCAAGGGACACACCAAAGGCAGGTATCAGGTGGTCTGAGGCATCTGCAGGCTTGGGGCGCAGGGATGCACACGTGGCAGGCTCTCCCCGCACAAAGCCTGCGCTGTCGCCTGCCCGGGGTGGCTGCTTCAGTGCAATCCCGTGAATGCTGTGCTGCTGTCAGGGCTAGAGCCTGCCTGAGCTCAGCGTGGGGCCTGGTGGGGCTGATTGAAGCTGTTGTCTGGAGCCCTGGGAGCGGGGTGCCTTGGGGAGAGCTTCATCCTCCCAAAACACAGCGTGACCGTCTGTGGCTGGGAGGCACTTTGGTCACCAGGCAACTGCCTCTCTTCTCCCCCAGGAGCTGATTAAAAGTAGTGGCCTCCATCACTGGCTGGTGCCTGGGAGGCCATTAGGGCAGTTGAGCCCAGAGCTCAGTTCACTCACCCACATTCCCATCGTGCAACAGTGATGTGGCCTCCTGGGGCCTCAGTTTGTCTGTCTGTAAAGGGCAGGGTACAGGCTGGGCGGCAGGCAGTGAGGGTTCAAAGTGACCACTGCACATTGCGTAATCCAGGGCTTGAGGTGAGTAAGGCAAATAGGCGCGGACAAGGGGAGGGAAGCCATGATGTGTCGCTTCTGCCCAATTTAGTGCCATAAACACTCCCAACTCAAGCTACCAATAACTTAGCAAAGGGCTTGCAAAATTCCTGCAGGTTCAACAGTTTGCTCTTGCTGGCTGATCTTAAATGACAGCACAGTACACCACTCTGCCAGGGTCTAGAGGGTCCAGCCTGTGCCTGTGTTCACCCCCACTCGCACTGTTGAGGGCAGGTATCTGAAGGTGTCAGCCTCTGCCCTAAACCCCCAGAATGTGGAAGGAGAGAGCTGAACCGATCCTCGCCAGAGGACACCCGCGGCCATGGGAGCCTGCCAAGGGGGAGCCGGGAGGCCTGGAACACAAACCCATTTTACTGACGGTCCGAAGACCGGACTCAGCACGCAGAGCGAAGCTGTGCCAGGGTGCCCCTGTACTCCCCGGCTCCCGCCTCTGCCCCCCAATCTCATAGCTTGTTTGTATACCCGAGGCTTAGCAGGGTTCTGCCAGCAACAATCTACTTTTCTTAATCTTTACGCCGCTGACAATTCATGGGGGCTCCAAATTTTCAAATCGACCTGGCCTCTGACCCAGGTAGACCACACCTTGTACAAACAAGTCGGGATTAGTGGGGCGCGCTGACATTTGTGCGCAGCGCAGAGGGAAGCCCGCTGCTGGCCAGGCCGGAGCTCAGCTGGCTCTCGCCTGGACGCGGTTTGTCCTACGCGCTCCGGCTCGTCTCAGGGATCTTAGTCTCTGGCCATAGGGTCCATGGAATCAGGAGAGACTCGATCCCCGCTGCATTTCGATTTAGATTTGCCTTTCTGGTTACTTTTCAACAGTCCCTTCTTCCCTGGACCACCCTGTCTTCCAAGCTCACCTCGGGTCATAGAGCGCGGAAGGAGCTGGATGCGCCAGGTCATGTGCCCGTGAACCTCGATGTCCTTACCTGTACAAGGGGCACCACACCCCATCTTGAGCGCGAGTGGGAGGATTCACCGAGGTTTAAATGCCTGGCACAGAGGGCGCCCTCCGCAACCTGGTGGGTCAGGACAGGCCCGAGCCCGGCCAGCGCCCCCTGCTGGCGTGCCACCCGCGAGGACCTCTGTCCAAATCCCTTCTTGTTCCTATTTTCTGTCTTGGGAGAGTGGTTTCTGCCAAGAGATGTTAGAATGGTGGTTCCTTCTCTGAGAGCTTTAAGCTGGACCCCAAATTGCAAAATAGCATCCACTCTGGCCTGCCTGGGGTGAAGGCCTGTCCCTGGGGCGTCGGCTTCCCCAGGTGCTTCACTCCCAGAGCTCAGCCCTGCCCTCCCTCCCCCACCAGCACTCTACTCCTCCACTGGTGACCAGCGCTGAGGGCCAGATCCGACCTCCCCCCCACCCCCAGCAGCTCAACAGGCAGCGGGGCTCTATGGGGAGGGCGACTTGAGCATGTTTTTCCATTATTTATATACTTACAAGCTGTGACCTATTACCGGAACTTGCAGGGTGCAGATGGACGCTCATTCCTGGATAGGCTTCAAACTCTGCGCTGCAGTCCGAGAAGCAGAAATTGGTGGCAGGAGCCCAAGATCCACTTCAGTCTTGCGTGGCTTTGCATCCAGCCGGCAGGGCTGGCTTTGCAGCGAGCTGGGGGCTGTGGACCTCCAGCTTCGCAGAGTTCTAGGCTCCCTGGAACCTCTCACACAAACCAGCAGCCCTGGAGGGCGTCGATGGTGCCGCTCATTGACTCGGAATCTGTGAGTCGGGGGAGTGTGCCACGCGTCCTAAGCCACGGGGCCTGCGACCATGTCATGTCACACAGCTACGGGTGTGAGTCAGCGGACCTTGAGATTGGGGACTACCCTGGGGTTGCCAGGTGGGCTTGTGTAGGGGCAGGGGGAAGCCAGCAGGGCCAGAGTGGAGAGCAGTGTGATGAGATCTGCCCAGCCCTTGCTGACTTTGAGGTGGAGGCGGGATGGCCCGCCAAGGGGTACCAGCAGCCTCTCGAAGCTGGACAGTGCGAGGGAGTCCAGAAAGGCGCACTGCTGCCGACACCCCCGTTTTAGTCCAGGGAGACCCCCTGCAGGCTTCTGCCCCACCCCCCCAGAACTGTGAGATTATATAGTCTTTGTTTCAAGCCACTGTTTTTATCCATCTTGTTACCATAGCAAGAGGAAGCCAAGAGGCTGGGCTGCCGTTGGCCTGGCTTCTTCCAAGAGGGACGACTTGAGCTTCTGTGCACAGACACATCACCCAGGGGACTTGCTTAAATCAGATTCCCTGGGCCCCTGTCTAGGGTCAGACTCAGGCAGCCCTGGAGCATACTTGCAGTGAGGGCTGAAGGTAGGTATGAAGCAGGGTCTTCTCGTAGGGGAACGGCTCCGTTGAAATAATTTACATGCCACAAAATTCAGGCATCTGTAGTACCCACTGACTTTGCAGCCACCTCCTCACACATAAGCCCCACCCCCTTTACCTATCACCCCTCACCCCTCCCTGTGCTTTCTGGCCCTACAGCTGTGTGGTGGGTTTGCCTGTCCCGGCCATTTCATAGAGGGGAGCCGTGTGATACGTGGCCTTTGTATGTGGCTTCCTGCACTTCCACGACACCTTCAAGATCATCCGCGTTGTAGCAGGCGTCTGCACTTCATTCCTTTTTAATCGCCAATTCCGCAGCCTGGATGCTCTGCGTTGGCCACTGAGGGACACTGGAGCTGTCGTGAGTCGTGCTGCTGGCCTTGGTCACAGGACGGCCACATTTTGAGGCAGCAGGACATAGCGGCTGTGGATCATCCTCCCGTGTATTCCCTCCGAAGTTCCAAAGCAAGGCGGTGGGGAGCACAGAGAACCTCCAGGTGAGGGAGATAGCTAGGTAATAGCAGGACTTTCTTAAATGGCCTCTCAGCCGTTAGCCCCAGGCACGTTCACCATTCCCCTTTTGTAACTGAGGCTCACAGGGGCTCAGGTCCCACGGTCGAGTTCACATGGTTAGGAAGGGACAGGCCCCAGTGGGTGCCAGCCCCTGGCCAGCAAACGAGTGTTACCTCAGCAGAGGGCCGTCTCCACTGCAAGTTCCAGAGCTGGCAGGAAGGCATGAAAAAGGCAGATCCACTTTTTCCATGTGCCAGACCCGTCTGCCACGATTTCACCCTGCTGCTGACTAGTGAGCCGGAGAGAGGTCTCACTGAGCTCCCAGAACTTTCCACATTATATGGCCTCCCCCATAAGCACAAGGAAGGATAGCTGGGAGGAACAAGGACTCGGGGTGTCTCGGGGGATGGCCCTTGGGTTCGCTGTGTGACAGGGTTTGACAACGGGGGCAGGGCGCTGACCGGTGGCTGGGAAGAGAGCAGAGTGCTGGGGGCCCAGGTCCATCTCAGCACCTCCCCAGTCAGAGGTGGGGAGCTGGGGTGTGGGCACAGCCATCCTCTCCCAGTGACCCTTCCTCCCCTCCTCCCGCAGTGCCTGCAAGTTCCCTCGAGGCCGGCCCTGAGAGTCCGGGAGGCAGGGTGATAAATACACGTTGGGGTCTAGAGTTGGTGCAGTCGATAATTTGGGGTTGACTTGGGAAAGAGGCAGCAGGCACCTACCATTTGGGGATCTCGGGGGCAGACAGTGGTGGAGGGCAGAGGCAGGCTGGCAGGAGGGGGTGATGGAGGCGGTGCTAACTCAGCTGCCCTCGGCTTGCCCCAGTGATTGGCGCTCTTCCCAGACGTCCCCTCTCTGTTGTCTCCAGGACACTGTGCACAGTGAGATGGGACCCAGATATGCTCTGCCCTTTGTGAAGAAGGAAATGACGCCAGAGGCCCCCCAGCCCCGTAGACAGAGGACACCTTTCCCCCTCCCCACTCCACCCCTGCTCTCTATCCTCTGCTCCTTCCTTTCCCCACCCCTTCCCCCCTTCCCCTCACCTCTCTCCCACTCACCCCCTCCTTCCCCATCCCATCCCTCCCTGCTCCCCACCCCTCCCCCTGCCTTCTCTTTCCCCCTCCAGAGACTCCCTGACTGAGGCAGGGGCAAGGAGAGGATTTTGGGGTTTGGGGGCCCTGTGTGAAGAGGCAGGTGAAAATCCTGGGCAGGGCTCTTTGCTTGGACCCAGCTGGGTAGTCTGCTGGAGAGAAAACCGGAGAAGAGACCTCTCCTGCCTGCATGGAACTGGGTGACAGCTGAATTGGGGGCCCAGGGTTGGAGCGCCCCTCAGAACTGAAGGGAAGACCCGTGGATTTGCGGGTGGGGAGGTATAGACATGAGCAAACTCAGTATCACGGGCCCCGTGGGAGGCAGGGCAAGGTGTCCAGAAGGCGATGTCCCTTGCCGGGGAACTCAGTCACCGGGGAGGCAGGATGGAATGTGAGGTCCAAGTTAGCCAGTCCAGGGCTACCCTAAAATGTACACAGGGAAGGGGGAGAGTGGCTCAGATCCTGCAGACCCCCAGCCATGAGATGAGGCCTCGGGCTGGACTGTGGGGAGGCCCTTGCCCTCTGTCTGGGACCCGGGCGTGGGGGAGCGCAGCCGTCTAACACTGAGGGCTTGTTTCCTATTCAGGAAGATGCAGCCAGAAGACTCCTGGCTTTGGATTTGGCTTCTTGACATTCAGAAGTCAAGAACAGAATGTTCTCGACACACATGTATAATTAGAAGCAGCAATGTGCAGCAAAGCCTCTTTTCAGAGGACTGGGGAAGTGCGGGGTAGCCCGTATGCTGGAGGCCCAGAACCCTAGAACCAGGTAGAATGAACCTGAGTTACCTTCTCAAACTTGGCCACACCTGTGAGCAACCTGGGCCCTGTTTCAAACTCCTACTAGTCAGGCTACAGCCCCCACGGAATACCACCAGGCCAGCGGGTGGGCAGGATTTTAATTCCCCAGGTGAGGACCCTGGCTGCAGTGGACCTCTCCCTGGGGAGCACCCCTGGATGAGCTGAGTCCCAGGTGCCTGGAACCAGACCTGCCACGGATGGGGCCCAGGTGCTAGTGCCTCCTGGGTGGGGAACCCGGGCCACACAGCCCTGGCGGGGTGAGTGCAACCCTGGCCCCCCACTTCTGTGCGAAGGCACTGCAGGCAGGGGCAGGGGCCAGCAACTGTGCTGTAAGGTCCTAGGGCGCACTGGCCTGGAGGACCGGCCCCCAGCACCCCCAGGGTCACAGCTTTCCCTGGAGGCCACCTGAGACTCAGAGATGGCGGGGTTCAGAGGAGAACCACTCTTCCTAGGGAGCACCCTTGAAGGAAGCCTCAGGGATGTGGTATGACTTGTGTGGCCTTGAGTGAGTCACTCCTGAGGAGTGTTCTGTTTGTAAGGGGGGAGGGAGAAGAAGGGAGCTGGAAGAGAGTGTGAGCAAGCCAGGACCAGGGAGAGAGAGTGTGAGCAAGCCAGGACCTCCCTTAGAAAGTGGGATACTGTTGCTCTATGTCCTTCCTGAAGGCCAGTGCGGGGTGGGTGGGGGAGGGAAGCTGTGGGCTCTCTGGCAGTCAGGTGGGGTGAGTTTTGGAAAGGTGATTTGTCAAGCTCCCACCAGAAGTAGGGAAGCTAAACCAGTCTGCAGAAAGGAGGAAGCAGCCCCAGGGGGCTGAGTGTTGTGGAGTCAGGTGCAAGGTCAAGTTCACCTGCAGCCACAGTAGCCTTAAGGATGCCCCAGGGGCAGGAAAGTGCGCTCTGGGGCTCTGAGCACAAGCCCCTGCGGGGTGAACGTGCAGGACACAGGCGAGGTCCCCAGCTTCAACCTGCACGAAGCCCCAGGTGGTAAGAGCAGATTGTCAGTGACAGGTTAAGCCGCTTCCTGTCCCTTCTCTCATGTCCCTCCCAGTCCCTGTAATGCCTCCACTAAGCTCACAGCTCCTGGCGGGGGAGCCACAGTTTAACCTCAAATTGGCTTCAAGATTTATTTTCTCTTGTGAAAAAGTCAGCAGTCACCCGCCGGAGCTTTGAGCAAATTCCTGCTTGGCGGTCTCCTCTCAGATGGCTGGA